AGAGAGTGCGTGGGAGTGAGTGCACAAGTGTGAGGGAGGGGCAGACTCCCCGCTGAGCAGGGATCCCGATGTGGGGCTCAATCCCAGGACCTTGGGATCATGACCTGAGCTGAAGGCAGTCGCTTAACCACTGAGCCACCCAGGCATCCCTAGAGTTATTCTTAATTTATGCCTTTTCAGAAAGGAGTCACACTGCTGGAATATTTTTCTAGGAATACATTTTTCTGGGGTCATTTCCCTGTCCAAGATTCTGCCATGATTCCTGGCTAGTGGGGAATATATGTGAGTATGTTTTAAATCAGACTGAGTGTCTCCAGACCAGTCTGATTCAGAGCCCCTCTTCAACTTCTCTCCTGGCTCCTGCTAGTCTGACCTGCTAGACGTACCTATAGTTAACATTCAGTGGCTAAGACTTGTGTACCAGGCATCGTGCAGAGATCTTCATGTGCATTATTTGCTTCTTAGCACAACCCTCAGAGGCAGATACTGCTACCCATATTTAAAAAACGGTTAAATCACAGTAATAACATCCATATAGTTAAGTAATATTTAAATACCTGTAGTGAAAACAACTGTTCTCCTTCCCACTCACCCTATTTCTGATCTCCAGAGGCAACTACTTTCAAATCTTATCTGTTTTTTCTGATATCTAAGGTCTTATCTCCATATCAAGGTACCTGTTCTGTTTTTTCTTACACATCTTATTCTGACTTATCAATTCTAGGAATGTACTCTCTTAAGGGCTATGATGTCAGTCTCCTGGGCCTAAAGGTAGACTTGGGGAGCCTGTGTTTCTGGCCTGTGTGACTATGGATATGTCACCTTTCTGAGCTTCAGTTTCTCTTATCTGTAAAATGGAATAACATCTGTTTCAGAGGTTTGCTCTGTGGATCAAATAAGGAATGTTATATAAACCTCTGTGCCTAGCACAGTTCCTGGCATATTGTAGGTGCTCCAATGTTGCCTAATATTTTCTTTTGTGTTTTTAGAATCTGGTACCTGTTTTATTTCTGAAGCTCTTAAGTATTCTTGAAAGTCACCTCCTGGATATGATTCATTAGGTTGACTGCAGATGTAGAGTCTTTATTGTGCAGTTACTAGTGGTCCCTGTTCTAGTTTGACACTGAATCTCTGAGCGATGAAATCTTTAGGGTTCATTTTATACTCCTCTCTTTGGAGAAAGATGATACTTCTAGTTCCTTATTAAACCTCTTATAAGGGTATCTAAGAATTATTTCTTTTTCATTGAATTGAACGTTCTAGGTTTTATTTGGGAGGAGGGAGAGTAGAGGCAATAAGTAGCGCCTTTTTACCTTCTGAGTTGAGATCCAACTGAGGATTGAGACAGGAGTCAGACTGATGATGGTCTGATTATCAGATCTGGTACTGACAGAGCTGATTGGAGCACGTGTTTTAGATTTGTAATCAGATGGGCTTCATACACTCACCTTTCTAGTCACTGGTGTGGCCAACCCAGGCTTCCCACAGGAGTAGGAAGAGAAAATCTGCCATTGAGGCCAGGCCTTTCCAAAAATGATCCCTCATGCAGCTGAGTCTTTGTTCAAGCCTTACTGATGAGATACGTCTATTTCTTCTGAGGGAAGACCCTTGTAGGTAAGGGACTGGAGCCATGGGCCACATGGCTTCCTTGCATGTGTCCTCCTTTGCAGTAGAAGCTCCCTCCCTCTGAGGGAAACCTGAAGCATGGGGGATCAGCTACCCAGGGAAAGCTCATGACCACTAGTCTCCCAACTATGGTATAGTTTACTATGGGTCAAAACTACCGGCATTGAGAGTTTAATTCTGGCATTGGGTATTTCATCAAAATGGGGAATGATCTTAAAAATCCTTCTTCGACTGAACTCTGCCTCTGAAACTCATAATATACTATATGTTAATTAATTGAATTTAAATAAAAAATAAAAAATAAATTAATTTAAAAAATCCTAAAAAAAAAATCCTTCTTCGAAGGACACTTGTCTACCAGCTGAGACTTACCTTCTTTTTTTTTTTTTTTTAAGATTTTATTTATTTATTTGACAGACAGAGACATAGCGAGAGAGGGAACACAAGCAGGGGGGAGGGAGAAGCAGGCTTCCCACCGAGCAGGGAGCCCGATGCGGGGTCGATCCCAGGACCCTGGGATCATGACCTGAGCCGAAGGCAGACGCTTAATGATTGAGCCACCCAGGTGCCCCTGAGACTTACCTTCTAAGATTTGGATTATGTGTTCTCGGGTTTGTGTCTTTCGCAGTTTATATATTTTTATTTATTCTTAGCAGGGTCTGAAAATCTACTTAATGCTTTGCCAGGTAATGATTTTTGATGTTCTAATGTATTTTAAATGTGTTATAATGTTGTGTTCCAGTCCCTTGGAGGAAATATAAAAAGCAGATGTGAGCCCAAGAGTGGTTTGCTGTTCTTACACCTCCTTTCTTTTCAAATGATCAAAGTATGCTAAGGGCGATGCCATAACAGGCTGCCCTGCTCTCTCTACCTAATTTTATTTATAAGGAAGCTGTAGGAAGAAAGCATTTTACTTCTTTTTGTTTAAGATTTTATTTAATATTTTGAGAGAGAGAGAGCGAGAGCACGAGCCGGGGGGGAGGGGTAGAGAGAGGGGGAAAGGGACAAGCAAACTCCCTGCTGAGTAGGGAACCTAATGCGGAGCTCGATCCCAGGATCCTGAGATCATGACCTGAGCCGAAGTCAGATGCTTGACCGACTGAGCCACCCAGGGGCTCCAGCATTTTACTTCTTGATATACTTCCAAAAACTTGAATTGTTAACTAGAAATGTTAATCAAAAATGGTTTCATCATGGGTGATAATTTCTCCTTTCTGTTAGCGCTGAATACTACCTGGTTATGTTTAACTGTTTTCCTACCATATTGACAAGATCATTATGAAGTGTTCTGGAAATAAAAGGAATAAAAAAATGCATTTGTTTTTGTGGCATGAGAACTTTTCTCAAAGTCAGCAAAATTATTTTTTGTTTGGTTTTTGAAAGATAAAATAATAAATATAAAATACATTTATTCCTTTTTGTACTTTTCTCTCCTTGGTTTTACATTCTTTCCAATAAGGAAAAGAAGACTGTGCCATTTATTTTTGAAAAATGAATGGTAATGTTGATTCTTAGTGTTCAAAATGCATATTTATTTTCTTGCTGCTTTGGAAGATGGATGATGAATGCAAGACTTTTAAATCAGCAGGTATATATAGAATTTACCTGATATTTAGAATTTGAGCATTTATAACATGGCACTTTTCTGACTCTTATTATTGCTTTCTATTGCAGTTTAGATTCTTAACCATTCCACCCTTCTAATTTATTCCTAATCTCAACTTGATGTAAATATTTTCCTGTCTTTTCATGAATCAGTTGAATGTCTTTAGATTGCTTCCCTAAATTGTACCCAGGGACACCAAGGTTGGTTTGTGCGAGGTGGCCCTATGTACATAAATTCTAATTCCTTTGCTAAATCTTCCCTGAAGAACAGACGCTCTTAGTTTGAGTGTGAAGTCATAATTTTTGGGTGGAATCTTTTTGTACTGTGCTGACTTTTCCTCCTGCTTTTTCAGCTCCTTATGAAGCTAGACAGCCCCTTGTCCAGCCTGAAGGACCCTCGTCGGGGGCCGCAGGAGCCAAGCCCCCTCGGCATCAGGCTTCCCTTATTCGGGTAAGTGATGTTGTGGGGTTATGCCAGTGGGAGACTTTGGGGACATGAATTTTTGATGGGCCCTCATTTTTTTTTGTAAGGGATATTTAAAACTGCCTCCTTACACAAATATTGCACTTCTTGTTCTGTTGCTTATATATTTTCATAGATCTTTTTTTTTTAAAGTTAAGTTCTACCCCCAATATGGGGCTTGAACTCATGACCCCCAGATCCAGAGTCTCATGACCTACTGACTGAGCCAGCCAGATGCTCCTGTTCTTCTACATCTTTTTTGTAATGTGTGTTTCTACCCTTTCTCAGTGTCTCTAGACTAATCCAAGCTGGTTCTTGGTCTTTTGTATGTCTAAAACGCCTTTCCACCTACGTCATTAGGCACCTCTTTCAGGAGTGCTTTATTTTTTTCCAAAACAGCCTATCTTATTTCTGCCTTATTCTTTATTATTATTCATTCAGTGCATACTTAGCTGTTGCACTTTGTTTTGTGCCTCCAATCACATTGCAAGCTTTTGGAAGGCGGAGGTAGTTCTTCTGCATTCTGTCTCAGGGCTTAGTCGCTACTGTTTGAACAGTTATTTTACATGTGGCAGTAACTGCTGTTTCTTATATGTAATAGATATACGAGGAATATTATGACAGACGAACAAGTGATGTCTCCATTTCTTCTGGCTTAGAAAATTTCAGCTTCCCTTTCTCCAGTGTTGTCTTTTGGATAAAGAACAGTTATTATTTTCATGTCTGCAACTGTTATCTTGTATAGTGTCTCTGAATGCTATGCTGGGGAAGTCATATTCTCAAAAAAGGGTGTGTGCTTGCTGGTGTGTGTGTATCTGCATGAGAGGAATTATGAAAAAACTGGGTGTACTGTTTGACCCTAAAGACAAAAGGAAGTTGGGTGGTTTGTATGACATTTCGGTTATCCAACTTAGGAAGAAGGATCACTTATGCACTGGCAGTTCTACTCAGAATAGAAGGGTAGTGTCAGATATTCCCATAAAGAATTGGGCTGCTGCTAGTCTCAAACAGAATAGACAAAGGCTAAGGACAGGTCATGGTGTTCAGTGACTACCCTCTGGGAATGGGGCAATCTCTTAGGCTCAGAGCTGTGTTATGGACAGAACTTTATCTTCTAAGGTGGTAGTCTGTGTACAGAGAACTTTCTTAAGGATAATAATTTAGCCATATGCTGTGTATATTTAATGCTTCCTACAACTGTAAGATCTAGGTACTGTTTTATCTACTAGTGTAGATGAGTTAACTGTGGCCAAGAGAGGTCAGGTAATGGGTCTAAGGTTTTATTCATAACTAGTAAGTGGCAGAACCAGAATTTGAAGCCAGGTCTGCCCAGTGTCAAAATCTGCACTTTAAAATATTTTACTATACATTAGAGTTCTATATTATAGGGAGGCTAGGTTCTGGAGTTGCTACATAAACTGACTTTGGGTGTAGTAAAAAATAATCCTGATGATCCCTTACTGGTACCATATTGGAGAGCCAAGATGCCATTCTCTCCTCTGTCCAGTAGAGCTCACTTTCACTCCCAACTTGGAACAAAGAACTGTTTATTTAGCTGAGCCCCAGATGTATTTGGCTGTGTTGAGAGGGCCTATGTTATAAAAATATGTGTCTTTAAACACAAGAATCACACCCACTGTGGAATGATGGTTACGTTAAGAAAGATGTAGGGGGGACTGGGATTCATTTAGAAAATTCTCCAGGATGTGGCTGTGCATGTGTGTACAGAGTGTATCTTAGTGCCATGGAGACCTAATCCTGAATTGTTAGAATAGTGGTCAAGCAAGCAGTAAATCATGAACTTTGCAGTGGTCAGGTAGGGCTCACCAGACCCTTTCTACCTAGTCCCCTGGGTGGGATACCTTGGGTTTTTACTTGGATTCATGCCCTATGACTTCTCTTCAAATCTCTGGGTCCATGCTTCCTGCTGGTAGACATGCTTCTTGGGTACTTCATTCAACTGATATTTACTAAACACCTATTAAGTGCCAGGTACTGTGTTGAGGATACAAAAATGAGGTTTAACACTTCCAGTCCCTGCCCTCATTGAGCTTATAGGCAATTGGGGGAGGTGGCCAATAATCAAACCATTGCACAGTAAATATGTCATTATGTGTTGTGAATGGAAATTGCACTGCTTTGAGGATGAAAAACAATGTGTGGGGGCACAGTTACGACCTACCCTTAGCTGGTAGGGGGCAATCAAGGAAGGCTTTTAGTGGGGTGTCACATTAGAGTTGAAATGAGAAGGATTCATAGGTGTTAACCAGGTCAAGGGATGGGAATGGGGGGAGTAGGCAAGAAGATAGAGGGCACTGCGCTTACAGGACTAGAAAATAGTCTGTTTTCTAGTGCTTAGCATTTTATACACATCATCTTCTTCAGTGCTCACAGCTGTGTTATGAGGTAACTCCTGTTATCTCATTTTTTTCCATGTACCAGTCATCTTTTATTGGATGTTAGTTCTCAGTTAGGATATGAAAGGATTCAAAGGTGCCAGGCAAAGGTCATGGTCAGGAATGCAAAATATGCCTCCACATTGGGCCCTCTTCGGTGGTCCTTGTAACAATGACAGTAGTTGAAAAGCACATAAGCTGCCAGCACCATAGAAATCCCAGCGATGCCCCCCTTTCTTCACATTGACATACTTGTTTATAATACTGGTTGGTAGTAACCTCTTTGAAATGCTCCGGCAGCACCTTTAGGGGTGAAATCCCACATCAGTATCCGGCTTGGTAGCTCTTCTAGTTTGCCATGAGCTGCTTCTGCTTCACTGGTATGGATGAAGCCATCTTGGACCCCTGGGTGTCCCATTTATTAGATGACAAAACCTGAGGTTTAAAGACCTTATTTAATTTACCCAGAGTCACAGCTAGGAAGTGATAGGGCTGGAGTTCAAACATAGGACATGTTTTCTTAGTCTGGCTCAGGAACCTGATAGATGGTGATATCATCTGGTAAGCTAAGAAGCCCTGGATGAAAAACTGGCATTGAGAGTATTAGGGAAAGATCATGAGTTCAGTGTTGGATGTTGGGATTTGAGCTTTTGGGATAGCCAAGAGGAGGTGTCAAAGAGATGGTAGGAAATATGGCTCTGGAGCTTTGGAGAGAGCCAGGGCTGGACATCAGTATTTGGCAGTTGTTGGGCATTAGAAGGACTTATGGTCTGGTGCAGAAAAAAACAGATGGGTTCTTGCCCAGGTCTGGCCAAACTGTGTGACCTTGGGCAAGTTTCTTCTCTTTTCTGTAACATGAATGACTTGAAATGGATTTGACAGTCCCTTGGAATAATCTGCAGTAGTCTGACTCCCTTAATGTTTGTTTGGCATCAGTGAAAGCCCCGCCGCCGCTCCCTCCTGATTGGAGTATTGCCTTCTGTTTAAGATGAGAACAAGGGGCCTTCCTTGGGACAGCAGTTTGTGGTTTTCATGGCTGATGTGTTTTTCTTGCTTTTGTTTCTAGGTTTCCTTCTTATGCCTGTCAACTTGGTTTGGCTGAACTCCAATTCCCAGAAGGGAAAATGCCAACCTGAATTAGTCATGTAGATGAGGGGATCTAAAGAGAAGGTTTTTGGTGGTAGGGGATTAATATGGATTGGGTCTGGTAGTAGGCTAGGCTGGGGTAACTCATTCTTCTCACATTGCCACGTTAGTGTGCTGTTGGCAACCTTCCTGTCTTCTAGCTTCCTCTGTGGCCTTGTATTCAAGTTGTTTCTTATGATTGGAAGGGGAGTGGCCTCTGGGTACTTAGGGAGGTTATTCAGGACCCTGGGCCAGTGCTCTTGCAGCTCATGAACTTGGCGTTTTAGAGATGCTTATGCCAAATTCAGCACCCAGATATTGGCATGAATAATTTTTTTTGGTCTAATATTTTAGAAATTTCAGGGTTTTTTTTTGTTTAGGGTTGGAAGTTTTTTCCCTTGAAATTTCACATACTGAGCATATGCTAGATCAGTGAATGGTTGACAGTGATTTGTAAAGAAATACTAAGTCTCTAGGGCACCTGGGTGGCTCATTCGGTTAAGTGTCTGCCTTCACCTCAGTTCATGATCTCAGGATCCTGGGATCGAGCCCCAGTCGTGCTCCTTGCTCAGCGGGGAGTCTGCTTCTCCCTCTCCTTCTGCACCTCCTCCTGCTTGTGTTCTCTCTCTCTCAAATAAAATCTTTAAATATATATATATGTATATACATATATATATATCTAAGAAATACTCTTCTTTCCTGATTCATCTGTTTTATCATGTGTTTATAGGTCATTTTGTGGTTTACTTTTCACAAATTATCTTAACCATCAACATTTGTAATTGGCTGGTGTAGGATTTAGAATTGTCCCTTTTGCTCCCACTATACTCCACTGATTCTGCTTTTGCCGCAGTTGCCAGAAACTACCTTGGTTTAAGTCCTTGTTTCATTGACCCCTTAGCAACTTTTGACACTGACCACCTTCTTGACATGCTCTCATTTTTTGGTGTACATGATGCCATCCTCTCCTGGTTTTCTTCCTGCTTCTGTGACTGCTTCTTCCTAATCTTTTTCCATTCTCCTACTTCCCCCAGCACCTCACATGTTGGTGATGCCTGGGTTTGCGTCTCACTCTGTTCCTCTTTAGCTATACGGAAGCTTATGACCACATAGCTCCATCTGCCAGACATCCTCACTCATATGTCCCACTGTGACTTTAAACTAACATGTCTTCTTTCCCACAAAGCCAGCTTTCACCCTTCCATTCCTGGCTCCGTCCATCTATCAGCATGGGCCAGAATGCTGGTCTCTATATTTGGCTCGTCTCTTGGCTCTTCTGCCCACGTAGTTACCAGGTGCTGGCCATTTCACTTCCTAAATGCCTCTCTTACCTGTCCGTTATCCTGCATTTCTTTGGTTCAGACCATCTTCCTCTGTCACTGGATCTGTTCTATCAGCCTCTAACTCTTTTTCCTTGCTTCCCCTCAGGCCCTCTTCAAATCTTAACAATACATATCTAATCACTCT